AAATCTAACTTATAAGATGTGTTTCCACTTTTGTTTACTTGATTTTTACATATTATTTAGTTTTTTTTAATAGCAGGTAATAAACAGACCATGTCTTGATTCCTTTGTCCTGCCAAGCCATTTAAGACAGCATTGAAAACCCAGCTAGTTTAGTTGAGTGAAGGCGGGGCCAAGGTTAACGTCAGTTTCCATATAAACTAGTTAGCCTCCCATAGAGAACAAAATTTACAGCTAACCCCAGCCATCTCACAGATGTGTGTCATTTATCATAAGAGAGATTGACAAATAAAGTGAGTAGCTCCATGTAAGCCATCAGCATTACCAGAAAAAGGACTCACAATATGTGTCAGAGAGTTAAGGAGCAGTATGGTGAACAGGGGATGAATTTGGTGTCAGGAGACCTGGATTTAGGCCATTTACCTACTAACTTTGTAACTCTGGGCAAAGCACTTCCCCTTTCTGAGCTCTTACATGGGAATAATAACACCATCCACACCTACCCTATAGAGTTGTGAAGATAGAGTTGGATAATGTAAATAGGACACAGTTCACCAAGTACTATACAAGTGTAAGTTATCATTATTGAGTGTTATGGTAATAGACATGGGCCAAACACACAGCTGAATGATAGTAGAGCGGAATTTTTTAAAAGGTAGGTCAAGCAGCTTCATTTTAAAATAGAGCTTAAGGAAAGGTTACTGGAATGTGTAGCTGCTAGTGTTGTCAGTTGAAGAATTAAGAAATATCACTTCTAATACCTCATCATTGATGACTAGGTAACCCTAAAATGTTTAGAGTTGAAGAATGTAAGAACTTCATATAATTTTTCATTCTCTGAATCAAAAAGACTGCATTCCATCTCAGGTTTGCTATTTGTGTGACCTTAGAACAGAAAAGGAAAACAAAATGGAAAAGAAAGGAAAAATGGTTTCTCCATATATGATCAGTTTCATTTCAGTAAAATGAAACCCACACTATCTACCCTCCATGTTTGTTTTTTAAAAACCTTAATGAACACATCGGGAATATAACCAAGCACAATGCCTGGCAGATTATAGGTAGCTTATAAATATTTGTTTATTTTTGTTATGTTTTCCACAGATAACACAGAAAGATGAGGAAGCGTTAAATAGTTCATAAGATAAAGACTGGACCATTTGTTTTCAGATTTGTTTAGATATAAAACTCTTCCTTTAAAGAATATATTGGAGATGGCCAGGCACGGTGGCTCACACCTGTTATCTCAGCACATTGGGAGGCCGAGGTGGGCAGATCACAAGGTCAGGAGTTCAAGGCCATTCTGGCCAGCATGGTGAAACTCTGTCTCTAATATCAATACAAAAAGTAGCCGGGCATGGTGGCATGCACCTGTAATCCCAGTTAAAGGGAGGCTGAGGCAGGAGAATCACGTAAACCCAGGAGGTGGAGGTTGTGGTGAGCTGAGATCGTGCCACTGAACTCCAGCCTGGGTGACAGAGTGAGATTGTGTCTCTCACTCACACACACACACACACACACACGAGACTTGAACACTAGTTATGCATGGGCCTTGCTCCACCTGCCACCCATCCCCCTCATGACCCTTGACCTTGAACCATTCTGTCTGCAGGACCAGGTAAATGAAGGAGACATCAGCCAAGAGTGAGGTTGGCTAGGGGGAAGGGGCGGTTTGTGGGGAAGTTGGTAAGTTAAGATTTCAGTGTGATGAGATGAAATACTTATAGGATATTCAGTTGAAAATGTTTAATAGGCAACTTCATATTTTGGCCTTAGTATCAATCAGTGCTAATCCAGACAGAAATTTTGAAGACATATTTTAAACTTACAGTTGAAACTGTGGGCAGGGATGAGATCACTAAAGAAACTGTAGCATGACAAAAGGAGAGGGGCCAAGTAAAGTCAGGTGAAAGAAGAGGAGTTTGTAAAGGAGAAGGAAGGAGCATGGGAAGACCTGTAATGGGAAAACATGCTGGGACATGAGGATGAGGACATTGGCAAGGGTTGAGGACTAAAGAAGAAGTGAGAAAACAGACAATGAAGTGAAGATGGACATTTGTGAGAAATTGTTATAAGGAACTGTCCAAAGCACTGGTTGGGAGCTAGAGGTTGAAGAGAAGCTAAGAAAATGTTTAAATTGGAGTGGAGCACATTTAAAAGTGAGATAAAGGCCAGGTGCAGTGGCTTATGCCTGTAATCCCAGCCCTTTGGGAGGCTGAGGCGGGCAGATCATGAGGTCGGGAGATCGAGACCATCCTAGTCAACATGGTGAAACCCCGTCTCTATTTAAAATACAAAAATTAGCCGGGCGTGGTGGCACACGCCTGTAATCCCAGTTACTTGGAAGACTGAGGCAGGAGAATCGCTTGAACCCGGTAGTTGGAGGTTGCAGTGAGCCAAGATCGCCACTACACTCCAGCCTGGTGACAGAACGAGACTCCGTCTCAAAAAAATAAAAGTAAAAAAAAGTGACTTGAAAATAATTTGTGGAACAGAGAGACTGAAGATCTGTAAATAAGCAGATGATAGAGAAAACTTCTTTAGTGTAATTGTGGGCACAGAGAAGTTTGCAGGGAACTGAAGGAGCTCTCCTTCAATACTGGTGGCCTCACCAGTATTTCCTGTGGAGCTGGATGTGTAGAAGGGGAAAGGAGGTCATGGGAAGAGTCTTGAAAGTGGTAAAGACTGAAATCATCGCTTCATATTCATGCTTTACACTTATCTTAAGACTTACTAGTGTCAGATCCTGAGACAGGCACTAGAAAATAGCAGTAAGCAAAACACGCATGGTCTCTGCCCTTAGCTGGGTTAGCTGATAAACAGCTAGTATTGGAGGCATACATTAAGATGGAATTAAAAATTTTCTTTGGTATCACTCGGTGCTCTGGGGGATGGTTTTAGGGTGGTCCTGGATGTATGATGGGATAACTAAAAGGCAAGACGGTTGGGGCAAGATCAGTTGATAATTCAACAAATGTCTGCTGAGCATCTCCTGCATGCCAGGCACCATGCAAGGGGCTTGTCGAAGCCGTAGATCTTGATGGCCTGAGGGATTTAAAAAACAACTCTACGAAGAGACAGGTAGATACACATGATAAAATAATAGATTTGATCTACATGTACTATATTAACTTTATGATATGTTGATCATTATTTTCTGTGTTCCCCTTTAGAACCACTATACTGTTCTATTATGATGTAATTCTTGAGCTTAAAATACATAAATTAATGTTGCAACTAGTCAGTGACTAACAGTGAACCAGTGACATTGAACATCTGGCAGTGCTTGGGACAGTTCCTGACAACAAAGCACCATCCCACCAAAAATACCAATCCTACGACCCCACTGAAAAACGCTGAGACAGACAATAATTTGGAAATGCACAGCTTCTGTTTAGCTTGTTAATTCAAAATGTTGACTGTATATCTGCAAACCAAAAATTGTGAAGAGACCCTTTAACATCAGACTTAGTTTCTGTGTTCTCTTCTGGCGGACACGTCAGGTATTTGTGAGGTCTTCACCTCATTCGGCAGCCATTGCCTTCACCACAAATCCATTCCAAAAGAGAATATCTGTTTTCCTCCTTCCCTCCCCTCCCTTCCCTTCCCTTCCCCTCCCTTCCCCTCCCTTCCCTTCCCTTCC